ATAAACGCTACATAAAAATATTGTTGTTTGTGAGAAAAAAAGAGACAAGTATTTTTTTATTTTGAAAAGAAAACAATTTTTTTTGAAGGTCGCGCTAGTCGGTTTTTTATGAAAAAGCTGATGTTTTCAATTTTTTTATTTTCGTAACATGTTATAGTGCAGCTAAAAGTGTTGTTTTTACATGTAATTACTCAGGTATTATTGGGGAATATTTTCTTAATTACATACCTGTCTTGGATAGTTAGAATGGGCCTAGTGCCCGAAAATATGCTTTCGAGAATAGACTGCTAAAATTAAAACGCTGATACTGAACGATTGAAGCATCGTTACCAGGGGGTTTCAAAATGGAGGATCCAATAACCAATAAACAAAATATTGGATTTGGATCCGCCATTTTGAATTTTGAAAATCTGCTGATATCAGATTCTTGACAATACTTAATAATTTCAGTCTCAACGTTTTAATTTTAGTATTTTTAAAATTGGTTCCAGTATTTTGAATTTTAAAAATTGACTTCAGGTTCGTAGTCAGCGACTCCAAAAATTCCCGTGCTCCGAGTTTCGAACCAATCCAGCCATTTATTTTTCAAATTGATCGCCATTTTGGTTCCGCCATTATGAATTTTGAAAAACTGGCATCATATGCGTAATCAGCGACCCCAAAAATCCCCTCGTAACGAGTTTGAACCCATGGTAATGCTTCAAACGTTCAATATCAACGTTTTAATATAGCAGTCTCTTTTCGAAAGCATATTTTCGGGCACTAGGCCCATTCTAACTGTCCAAGGCAGGTATGTAATTCAAGGAATGTTCCCCAATAATACCTGAGTAATTACATCTAAAAACAACATTTCCAGCTGCACTATAACATGTTGCGAAAATAATAAAATTGAAAACATCAGCGTTTTTATAAAAAAACCCTATTAGAAAAGATTTTTTTTTTTCAAAATAAAAATCCAGCCCAGAATCGTCCCTGAAGTCGAACCCATTAGGAGAGTGGGAGGACCGGAAAACTGCGTTCCCTTGTTGTATAAACAAGCACGATCATATTCACATATAGTTGGAACATGTCAAGTAGCACACTGGTGTATAACTTGGTGTAGATTTACGAATTTTGGTATAAATCTGATTAATTGTACCAAAATTCGCAAATTTACACCAATGTGCTACTTGGGATCTGTTCCTTGCCAACGATTGTTTTCGAAAGCAGAAGCAACACTAACCACGCCAAGAAATCGGTTGACTGGCAAACATTTGGAAAAACATCTATTCTTGGGAAGTACAACAAAAGAAGATTTTTTCGCTAAAATATTTTTTTAATAAATGTTTTCTTAAATAAGATTAACTTGTAATTTTTCCAATGTATATGTATCTGTGCAAATACCATTCATCATTAGACATATGGTTCTGCTATGTAACGGAGTTTTATTTATTTTCATTTCCTATGTTAGAATTCCCAGAGGATGATTAACTTGTAATTTAAGAAAATAAATTTAGCTAAATACCGATTACAAAATGCGTACCGATACGAGTAGATATCGATATTTTAGGTCCGATATTTTTCAGGTATCGATACTTTTTTTTTGATAATACTTCCAAGTATCGCTAGTTGCATGGTATCTTTGCATCCAGAGCTGGGCGATAAGGATTGCATGTGTAATCGATTGCATCTAGGATTACGAGTAGATACTTTAAACGCAATTTCAAAAATTATTAACTTAGGATTGCGGTAATCTTTCATCGAAGGCATCTTAGATTACCATTACAATAATCGTAATTTCAACTTTTTTCAAATTACAATTACTGTAATCGTAATCTAAGTTCGTTCGATGAATGATTACAATAATTTTAAATTTACAACTTTTCTAATTACAATTTTTTGAGTGATCTTAAAGTTAGTAATTCTACAAATTTGCGAAATATAAATGCGCGCTAAATGATAATATGAGGATAATATGTATTTACATATCTAAAAAAAAAAACAGACAAATAAAAGAAACTAATATTAAAATGAAAATAACAAGTAAAGTAGTTTGGGCGAAATAAACTTTGTATAACCGGCAAATAAAACAATACAGAATTACAATTAAGGTAATTTTATAAAATTACGATTTCTGTAATCGTAATGTTTTTTTTTTTAACTTGTTCGGGTTACTGCAATCCTAATCGTTTAGTAATCGTAATCCTTATCGCCCAGCTCTGGTTGCATCCCTATACAGCAGCATTGAAAGTAGTGGAGAAGGCGAACACGAGCGCCCAGTCGATGACTATGGAATCGATGCCCCAGCGCCTGACTATAATGAGGTACGAATAGCGTATACGCGGTTGAAAAACAACAAAGCTGCTGGACCTGACGGCCTGCCTGCCAAGCTATTCAAGAACGGTGGCGAGGAGCTGATGCATCAACAAAGAAATGTAACTCTTATGTAGAATATGGTCAGATGAACACAAGCTCAATGACTGGAATTTAAGTGTGCTCTGCCACAAGAAAGGCGACCCCGCCATACGCCTAACTACCGCGGGATCAGCCTTCTAAGCATAGTTTCCAAGGTCTTATCGAGTGTATTGTGTGAAATACTGAAGCGCACCGTCAACGAACTAATTCGACCTTATCAGTGCGTCCTTATACCTGGAAAATCCATCATAGATCATGTATTCATAATACGCCAAATCAATACATCGATATTATCGGTAAAAACAAGACTACGCCTGTTCTGCCTTCTCTTGATTAGATAGAGAAGCAAAGCGAATACGTCTGGTAGTGAACGAGGAGAAAACGAAGTATCTCCTGTCATCACCCAAACAGTTAGCGTACACGCATCTTGGCACACACGTCACTGTTGACAGTTACAGGCTTGAAAAAGTAGACGACTTCGTTTGCTTGGGAACCAGCATTAACACTAATAATAATGTCAGCCTTAAGGCCTGTATGCAGCTCTCAAGAAAAGCAAAAACTCCATATAAAATGACGTACAAGAAATGGCTAATTTCTTGAGTCAAATTTCCTTAAGGCAGTACGCAGTTCTTAAGAAATTTACTACGCTTTCTACTACGGTTTTCTAAAGTTTTTTGTGAAAAAAGAGCACAAGGCAACCCAGGTTTGCAACAGAAATATATGCCCGTTCCATTATTTCTTGAGGAAAGAGTGAGGCAACAGGCTGTGAAGTATCAAAAATGTCAAAATTCCTTGGACACACACACGAAATAATGGCAATTTTTTCTTGACCGTTTTCTTGAGAGCTGCATACAGGGCTTTAGAATCCAACGGAAAATAACTCTAGCCATCAAGTCCTACTTTGTAATGAGTAGGCGATTGAAAAGTAAAGTCCTCTCGACGTACAAAGATCAAACTGGGGTATGGCGAGGATGCATGCACAATGAAAGCATCTGATGAGGCGGCTCTTGGAGTATTCGAGAGAAGGATTTAGCGAAAGATTTACGGACCTTTATGCGTTGGCGATGGCTAATATCGCAGACGAGGACCTGTATGAGCTTTACCACGATATAGACATGGTGCAGCGAATTAAAACTCTGGCTTGGCCATGTCGTTCGTATGGACAGAAGCGTTCCTGCTCTGAAAGTATTAAACACGGGTAGTGAAGATGGTAACAGAGGAAGAGGAAGGCCTCCTCTGCGTTGAAACTACCAGGTGGAGAAGGACTTGGCTGCACTTGGCATTTCCAAATTGGCGTCAGTTCGCACAGAGGAGAAATGACTGGCGTGCTCTTTTGGACTATGAACTTAACCTTGTTTGTCTATGCAAATATTGGGTTCAAGCAATTTTATAAAATGAAGTTATTCTTGTCATGTACAGTCTCTTTTACCACACCTTATAGTGTCGGCCGCTGTGGTGTAGTGGTAAGCAGTGCGTGCTGGCACTCCGTAGCGCCTGGGTTCAAGCCCTGATCAAAGCAACATCGCAAAAAAAAACAGCGGTCGCCCCTCGGCAGGCAATGGCAAACCTCCGAATGCATTTCTGCCATGAAAAACAGATTCGCATAAAAATACAATCGCCTTTCGGAGTCGGCGTAAAACTATAGGTCCCTCCGCTTTGTGTGACAACATCAAGACGCTCGCCACAAATCGGAAGAGAAGCTCGGCCAAACACTAACATATGTGTAAGCGCCAATCTATTATTATTATAGTCAGTTAAAAAAAGTAGGGGTTTTTAGCTCTCAGAGAAAAACGTAACTATGAATTCATATGAATACCTCAGTCCCAACAATGTAAACAAAGACATGTAAATTTATATCGAGGGCTTACTTACATATATGTATGTTTAGTTATTCAATACTCTCTCAGACTGTATGTATCTGGAATTTTCATAAAACCCCGGCATTTGTGTATATTTCAACCCACGTGGGACTTACCTGTAAACTCGGATATTATTTCTAACTTTGAAATCAAATAGTAATGGTCTGATATGGCAACTTAAGGTAACTTACGGCTCCCTCTTAAAAATTCTGTTAAATGGGTGTTGCTTATAATTGAATAGTCGGAACTTAACGTAACTTAATACCACGTCGAAATCTGTTTCATTTCTCTAAGATTCTTTAAGTTCTACGTTCCGTTCAGTTCAGTTAAGTTGCCATAATCAGGCTTTAAGTTTTACTAAGAAGAGATACAGAACGATAAAAGTAATATAATCGATGACGTTTATGTCTAGCGTTTTTTTTTTCAATAACTATCTGACACTCATTTATATATGAAGGTATTGATACAGGCCCCCGATATTTACTTTCAACGCGTTTTTTTGTTTTAGTATGGAGCGCGAGGCATTCTAATGTATACATGAACACATGTATACATATTTATGTATGTACATACGTATACATATGTATATACATGCATCAATATAATCAGATAAAGTGCCCATTTCAAAGCTGCTGGCAGAAGATTCACCCCCTCGACTTTTGTAGCACACCAAAATATAACTATACAAATATATGTGCATACATAGGTATGTACATATTCAAATGCCCGCGCAACGAAACTGCCGCTCTTTGTTAAAAAAATTCTGTTTCAAAAATTAGAATCGACTTGGAATGGCGCACTTAAACGTAGTTTGATTCAGTATGAATTGCGCGCGCGACAAATGCAGCCATCCGTGCAGAGAAAGCTCAGAGCTCAAACAATTAATCGTCTAAGTAACAATAATAAATCATTTAACGTCATTTTAAAACGCGGACCGTCCGATTCGTTAATCCATGATTCGCGAAACGAAATGAAATTGTTATAAGTATGTATGTATGTATGTATGTACATGAAATGTACGCACATATGTAAGAATTAACATATATTTACTCACACGTAATTTGGGATATCCCAAGCTCATTAAAATATTAATTCGATAAACAAAACGTGCCACTCTCTCCACTCGTCAAACAGCCCTAACAGCAATGAGTAATAATCTACACTTGGACTCAATGAAGGTTTTGTCCTCAAAGACTTACCCTCTACCACAAGTACACAACGCCAACACTAAATTAACGTCGAAGCACCTCAGACTGAAACGTAGTGTGCGACTTGGTGTCAACATACAGACTGGCCGCCTGCAGTGGTGTCCTGGTGTAACTTGTTGTAAAGTTTTTATTATTCTTCCAGTGGTTTTGTTGCCAATAACAATTGTACTCATTCTATTAATGCGCATGGACAATATGCTAACAGCACTGCGGTTGCAGCGAGAGCAGCAACTGCCGCAAGGAGATCATTACGAATATTCGCCACGTCAGGATCATTATCGATTGGATTTCCCAACGGCTAAATGCGATGAGATCGATGATATAGTGAAAGAGCAGTTTATAATCCCTGTGGATATTCGTAAAAAGGACGAAAGTGAACAGGAGCGCATCAAGCGCTGCATATCATTTAAGTTTGGTTTCAGTGAGGGAATAGAAGTGGAGGATCGGGATATAATGAAAGACGCGCGGACATCTTTTCTACCGCAAGATACCACTGCAATACCCCGTGAATGTCTGAATAAACTCAACTCAGTTAATGCGGATCAAAACTTTGTGAATGAAATATGGGAGCAGATTCTCCGACGTCGTTCACGCAACACCGGTGAGACTGGAGTTAGCGAGGCAAAATCTGAATCGGTTGATGATGGGTCCAGCAACACACAGAATTCGCTTAGCGAAGAGGATGCGCGACTTTTTGGCTCAACATCAGCGTTACAGACATTTTGGAATGAGGAGGGTACTAAAGAAAGTATACGAGAAGCCCAAGCAAAGACAATGAAAAAGTACATGGACACCACAATTAATCCTTGCACTGATTTCTATAAATATGCTTGCGGTAATTGGGAGCGTCTGCATCCTATACCAAAGGATAAGGCTGGATTTGACACCTTTGAGATGCTACGTGAAAATCTAGATGTTGTATTAAGGGAACTGTTGGAGGCTAAACGAACCACGGAGCCGCCTACATCTCAAAATAAAGTAGTAGACATTCAAAACAATAATTATGGCCACAGCATCGAAACACGTGCAGATATTATTAAATTCAGTTCATCGGTACCCAGTTCAGTGGTTGGAGTGAACAAGAAAGAAGATTTACCTAAAGCTTCAGGTCAAGATCAACTAAAAGAAAGAGTCACGCGTCTTCGACGACACATCGTACACCACCGGGATGCTTTAGGCGTCGTCTTACGTCGTTACAAGCGCCAGCAGGCCATCTCACATAAAAGGAAGCGCTTAATTACTTTATTCGGACTGGGCAACCTTTCATCCGACAGTATTAGCAGTTCCGAGTATGTTGACAACGACGATGCACAACTAAAAGCGAAATATCTTTATCAGTCGTGTATAAATGATGATCTTCTTCAGAAGCGTGGTATTAAACCGCTTACAAAATTAATTGAAAATCTCGGCGGCTGGCCCGTACTAAATCCAAATTGGAATCAACAAAACTTTGATTGGCTCAATTTAACCGCACAATTGCGGCGTTACAATAACGATATTCTCATTGTTGAGTGGGTGGGGCCAGATATTAAGAATTCCGATGAGAACATTATACAATTCGATCAGACCAGTCTTGGTTTACCCACACGAGAATATTTCCTACAGGACATGAATGCTCGATATTTGACAGCATATCAGTTATTCATGTCGGAGATAATGCAAAAGTTGGGTGCGTCACGTGAGCGCGCCATAAAAACGGCCGCCGAAGTGGTGGGCTTCGAAACACGGCTCGCCTCGATAACAGCACCGGCAGAGCAACGCCTGAACGTGACCAAGCTGTATAACCGAATGACGCTGAATCAATTGCACCAGGCGGTACCGGAAATAAACTGGCTTCGTTACCTTAGCATTCTCCAGGATCGAAATGTTCGCGACTCTGAAGAGGTGGTCATCTATGCCTTAGATTATATGAACGATCTCGTTCGTTTATTACACACAACAAACCCTGCTACTGTATCTAATTATTTGCTTTGGCGTTTTGTGCGTCACCGCATAAACAATGTTGATGATCGTTTCGAGGATACCAAACAAAATTTTTATCACTCCCTATTCGGACGTGAAGAGAGTCCACTTCGTTGGAAAGTCTGTATTGCACAAGTAAATACCAACATGGGCATGGCCCTAGGCTCGATGTTTGTACGCAAATATTTCGATGAAAATAGCAAACGAGACACGCTTAAAATGACACACGAGTTACAACAAGCTTTTCGTGAAATCTTAAAAAACACAGACTGGCTCGATTCGAGCACTAAGCACTTAGCCGAACTCAAAGTTAACGCCATGTCTTTAAAAATAGGTTACCCAGACTTCATACTAAACCCAATCGAACTGAACGAAAAATATTCAGGCATTCGCATTCACCCAGAAAAATATTTTGAAAATACTCTTAACGTGCTTCTGCACACTGCCAAAACGGAACAAAACAAGTTACGGGAATCGGTAAATAAAACAACTTGGCAGACAGCCCCAGCAATTGTAAATGCGTACTACAGCCGCAACAAAAATCAAATCATGTTTCCGGCTGGCATACTCCAACCACCTTTCTACCATCGTCACTTTCCTCGTTCATTAAATTTTGGAGGGATCGGCGTTGTAATCGGGCATGAGCTTACTCACGGTTTTGACGATAAGGGACGACTATTCGATCGCAATGGCAGCATACACAAATGGTGGACAGATGCATCAATTAAGGGTTTCGATGAACGAGCGCGCTGTATAATTACCCAGTACAGCAATTACACAGTGGGAGAGGTCGGCATATCACTTAACGGCGAGAGCACTCAAGGTGAGCGTAAAATAAATACATTTATATTTATTAGGGTGATTGGCTTGGTTTTTCCAAACCACCGTAGGCGGTTTTTTAAATCTCTTTACTTTTCGAATACCGAGTTTTACAATCGAATTAACCGGATTTTCCAATAATTATAAATATTCATTTTATGGAAAGCTGATAGCTATTTAGTACTATTAATTTATAACTTTAATTACATATATCTTAATAAACAAATAGTATTAATATTTTATTAGAAACTGGACTACATAGAAAATTTTTATAAATTTTGTATCTGAAAACTGGAAAACCGGACGAAAATCGTTTACTAGTCTTTTTTTTGTAGCAGCTTACTAAACCATATTTAAATCAGTAAATCGACTACATTTTGTATAAATACTCATCTGACCGCAGGGTCAGGAAAGGGCCAGATCCGACGGGTTTGTACAGTGATATTTGATACGGATTTTGTGCCCATAATTAAAAAAAAAACGAGTATTTTCACACTTATAAAGGTTTATAGGGGTATTTGAGGTCACTGAATTCGAATCTGAAGTCAAAATAAACGAAAACAAAATGGTCGATCAAATATGACGCCTGAAATTAAAAGAAATTGGTTTAATTTGAAAAATATTTATTTAATTCACGAAGTTATATGAGTTTATTTAAGTTCTTAAATAAAGTGGTTTATTTTACATGAAATTGATTGAAAAAAGCAATTTTAAAAAAATTATCTTCAGAAAACTTTTCAATATTTTATGGTACAAATCACGTTTTCAACAAAATGTCATGATTTGAAATATAATTATCTTGAAATAAACAAAAAAATTGTATTGGCGAAACATGGAGAAAATGACTTACGACTTTTTCTTCAAACAGTTTTGTTAAAAAAACTCAGTTGAATATTCCATTGACTACTAATCAGATATCAAAAAATTTTAATGTTATAGTTTATATAGAACTTACTTGTAGAAGAAAAACACATTTTACAAAATTAAAATCGATCGCCCTATGACTTTTGGCGTTCTTTTAAACTTTAGCATTACATTTTCACTTTTCAGAGCGCAGGGTCAACTAAACCTTTCGCACTGATTGTACAAACAGGTTGAAAAGGTTGAGACCTATCTTGGACATATTTCGATAGCTACCCCAAGAGAAGAAAACCCCAAAATCGATTTTTTTTTTTTGGACTTATGGATAAGAAATGGGGACCAAATATTACTATGCGTAGGGAGAGAAGTGTTAAAAAGGCTGATGTTAGTGTGCGTATATATATTTTATTTAAATTTGACTGTACACTTTAACTGCTACAATATCCAGAGTCGTGCCGAAGTATCGCAAGCCTAACGAAACAACTCGACTTTTTCGTCTGTGATAGGAGGCGTTGGGCTCCGATGATGGAATTCAAGAGGCGAGAGTTGACGAAGGTGTTGATTGAAACTCGACAAATGACCTCTCTTTAATAGACTGTATTTGTGTAGTTGGTCTGGTTCTGCGGATGGTGTATTTTCGGTTCTACATGGTGGAGTTTTTCCTGACAAAGGACTGTTGTTTTAGGGTTATAATCTTGTTAAGATCGGTGAGCTCCATTAAGAGCAAACTTGGCGGTAATTGGTACATTGAACTTATTTTACCTCATTGATTTCTTAATTAAAGCTTAACTATTTTCAGCAGTAGATTGGTAATTTTGGTATTAACGAGCCGTAAGTGTTACGGTAGAGAAAATATGTAAAATAAAACCGGTTTATCCGTTTTTTCTTAATTACAAAATAGGAAACCGGTTTTTTCGAATTGCCATTTTTCAAATACTTGAAAACCGGGCTTCGAAAAAAGACGAATAATCGAAAACCCTAATACTTAAGTTTGCGCTTACACATATGTGTATGTACATAGTACGTACCAGGGATGTTGAGAATATTTGCATTCGCATCATTTTACACAGTCGCATTCGCATCAAAAGATACGAATGTTTTGCGAATGCGTGTGTGTTTATGGGCGGAGAGTCCACTCTAATACTTTTGAAATAGCTCTAAGTCTGTCCAGAAATAATTTTAGAGTCCTACCGGGGAAAGCGAAAGCTCGGATGTAGGATCTGGAGACATTAACAGCTCAACCAAATATTACCAGCGTGAGTTTTTCTACGCACAGACGCACGCAAGTTTTTCACATTCACATTCAATTTGCACTCGTAATTTTTCAGAGTTGCATTTCTGTCAAATTTCAGAAGTTGAGCAAAATTTGGGCATAAATTCATAACAGATCCGATTCTCAAATTTAAAAAAAAAAAAACATATGGGGATTGATAGAGATCATTGAGGTGAGTACAACGGTATATTTCCTTTTTCGCGGAAACAACAATTACAAAAGTTATTAAGGGCGAAAGTTCAAATTAAACAATTTTTTAAATCAAAATTTCTTAAAAAGGAACGCATGGATTTTAAAAGCTCATTTGATAGGACAATTAATTCCCTTTAATTTGATATACATACTTTATATATGCTTTGTATAGTTTTCACAAAAATCGTATTAATGTATGCAGAAAGGAGTTCCGCTTCTCTTCTGCGGCAACACAGAAAGGATAATTCTGCTTACTGAGGGTTACATGTATATCAGATTAAAGGCAATCAAATTTCCTATCCATGCAATCGTTTTCAAAAGATTTTGATTTAAAAAAAATTTTAATTTGAGCTTTGACTTTAATAACTTTTGTAGTCGTTTCCGAAAAAAAAAATATACCGTTATGTTCAGCTCAATCATCTTTATTGGTCCCAATATTTTTTTTTTTTTATTTGAGCATCGGAGCTATTCTGCATTTGTTCCAAAATTTGAATTCATAGTCGCGCCAAATTGTCAAATGAGCACAAACATCAAATCAAGATTTCACGCAACGCAAATCTTGGAATTTGAGTTAGCTTTTTACGCACTTTGGCCTCTAAAATATGTGAAATTAAAGCTCAATTAAAGTCAAACGAGGTGCCACGCCCCTTGATATATCGATTTTTTTTCTATCATCCTTGGAAACTCTAGATTCGATGCCAAAAATTTCAAAAATATCGGTACAGCTGTTCTCTAGTATTTCGAACAGTAAAAACGGCTTCCAAATATATACTAGTAAAGATAACAAATTAAATACATTTTTTAATTAAATTTAGCCTATGGAAAAATGTTTACGAATAACTTTTAAATAATTGCAGACATTTTAAATTAAATTCAAGTATTTTCCAAAAAAAATGGGGAAGCATTCAAACGTAAAAATTTTTTTTTCGTTCATTTTTCAACATAAATAAATAAAAAACTAAAGCTTTTTTAAACAATCGCCACGGATAGATCGACGCGAAACTTAATAATCTTACTCAAAGATTTGTCTTGCGTGACATCTCGATTTGACGTTTAAGCTCAATTGACATTCTAGCGCGACTATCGATTCAAATTTTGTTTAACAAATTTCGGTGAATTTGACAGAAATCACGCACACAAATATATCAAATGTAAAAAACTTGCGTGCGCGCGTAGAAATCATCACCTGCTCTGGCTTGAGGTTGTAAACTATCTTCTAGAGGAACTGGAAAAAGTGGGCTGTCGGGTGATCGCCTATGTAGATGATGTAGAACTTTTGGTTAAGGGATGATTTCAAGACACCCTTTTTTATCTGGCTCAAGGTAACTAGGTGGATGATCAACGGCAGCCTCGCAATTAATCCCAGCAATACGGAGCTGGCGTTGTTTACCAGGAAGTACGAGATACCCGTTGTGGCCCTTCCCTCGAGTGGGCGTGGTCGTCTGCGGCTCTCAGACCGCGTCAAGTACTCAGGCTTGATCCTGGATAGGAAGCTGTCGTGGAAGCCAAACATTGAGGAAAGGGTAAGAAAGGCGTCGGTTGCCTTGTAGTGCTGTAGGGCAGCTATCGGTAAAAGCTTAGGTCACTCGCCCAAAGCAATTCATTAGCTCTATGAAACCAGATTTAAGCCTATCTTGTTTCACGGAGCCCATGTCGGGTGCAACTCACTAGAGAAGGCAACACTTGTAAAACAACTGGAGTGTTTACAGAAATTCTATGTAAAAGTAAAAATTTCTCAACTGGACCTCGGATTTCAGTGAAGTTCGAAAATGTGTAGATTCAGAGGTTTATAGATGTGAAAGGGATTCTGAGATTTTTTTTGAAAAATTTTAATTTTTTAAGTTTTTATAAGCAAATATATTTTTAAGCAATAATTTTTTCAAAACTAATTTTCTCTTAAAGTATTTGACGAAAGTTGATGAAATTATTTTTCGAGGCGTAGTGACATTAGAGCTTAAAAAAATATTTTTATAATTTAGAATTTTTTTTTTTATTTAAACAATATAAATATTTAAATTTAAATAATAATTTAATAATTTAAAATGTTTTCCATTTCGTTTATATTTTTGAAAACTGCATTTATTCAAGAAAATATTTGTAAAGAAAATTGTTAGATCTTTTCTGTTTTTGACTTACAGCAACATTTGGCACAGCGCGTACAATCACAATAAAAAAATTGTTTG